GTGTGCTTGGCAGTATTTTTCTGCTGCTTCCTTCTTTATTTCTCAAATAGAAGGAATTTAATTTTAGCTTATTGAAAGTTTTGAAATGTGAGGAAGAAATAATAAGAGGTAAGGATGTGCTGTCTTGCTGTATGATCATGACCACAAATCTTACATTAATATTGTGGCCAGTGCAGGAGACTTAAATCATCAAGTTATGCAGAAGCACCGGACAAATGGAGAAATAGTAGCGGGGGAAGAAAATAGGAGTTAAAACCTGTTTACAAGTTAGGTAGTGGATGATGGCTTTGTGATAATATTTCCCATATGAAATGTTCACACTGCAAATCTTAGTATCTTTGTTAACATTCCAGCAACATGGAATTTTTCTCAGGTTGGTTTCTCAGCTAGGGCAGGTTGGAGTAGTCCTTTAACTTCAGCATTTCAAGCTTGACTCCAGGTGACTAGAGCTTTTATTGGTGAGAGAATTAGAGGGCAGAGGTTGTAAATAGTGATGCTGGATTATTCTAGGCAGCTAGAGCATATTTGGCCCATCATAGTATCCTATACAGGTGTTGGCAGTAATAATAATAATAAAAAAGCTTAGTATAAACAAAGCGCAAAGTGTTGTCTAACTCTGAGTATTCTCGCTCAAAAACATGGCACTTAATTCTCCCTTTTGCAGAAGGAAATCATGAAGTAAACCTTGAGGACCCTGTGAGGACTTCAACCCAGTTGGGAGGATGGGATTAAGTCAGAGATCGTGGAGGTTAAGTAGACACATGTGAGCTCACTTTCTGCTTGTGTTTCTGCCTCCTGTTGGTTATGGAAGCTCCTTTCCAGCTCTCTGCCGAAAAGCGGCCTCTCTGCTAAAACAGAAAGACAGAGCATACTCTAACAGAGACTTGCAGTGTCAGCTTGCAGTAGTTTGTCCAGCAGGTGCTAAGCACAGGTAACAGAGAGAAAAGCGTAATGGAGAATCAAATTCTGAAGTTCCTCCGTCTCTCGATCAGACTTATCTCCAAATTTTGGGAACCTGTAGTTGTCTGAAAGACTTGCTTCTTTTGGACTTTGGAAGCAACAGACAGTGAAAAAAAAAAAAAGTGCCTCTCTTGCCTGTCCCTTTCTTGCCTCCTAACTTAGTGTTGGTGTGTGTGGGGGAATGGGGCGTATAACTTGGGAAGAAAAGGGGACCTGCATAGATAGCCTAAACAGCAAAGTCGGTTCAGGCTCACCAAGTAGGGAGGCTTGGCCTTGAATGCCTCTTCTTCTTTAAGGGTCTTTTCTTCTTTAAGGGCAATGTTACTTGTTGTAGAAGCAGTTTGGTTTTTTAAAGACAGAGCTCTTCCTATTCCTTAGCTCTATGCATGTGCTGTGCACTGGCTCCCAGAGCGGCAGATCGCTTTCGCTGCAGCCGTCATTCTGGTGTGACATATCCCTTTGGCTTCCACTTTCCGTGCGCAGCACTAAACATGGGTGACTTTTTAACAGGGAAGGTTGGAGCAGCCAACTTCTGAGATTAGTATTCACATGACTGTGGGAGAAAGCATGCCATATTTGCCTAGTATATCAAGTGGACCACCAGCTTTATTATTTCAGGGACAATCGAACTGGAGCTTGCTTCTTGAGCTAATCAGGGCTGATTTGCTCTAAAGTTGCTTCCTGACTTAGATCTCAAGCAAGGAAGTGCTGTAATCAGTTCCCAAGGATTGTCAGAGTTGTGATGGGATGTTAAGGGAATGGTAGCCTCTCTTCTAATGGCTTCTTGCATTTAACACAGTTAACCTGAGTGTGCTACATGGAAACTTAGGTTAATTTTTTTTTTAAATGGCTTAACATCAGAGGTAATTTTGTTTGAGTTTGCAGCCCTGCATTTTGGAAAGAATACCCTGAGCTGTTTGCTTTAGTTGAAGATATATACTGACAGAACTGCTCAAACCCAGCATTTACTGCCATCACAAAAAGAAAAAAAAATCTTCATGAAAGAGAAAGCGAGTCCCCCTGAGTGTCACTGTTTGCATATTAGCGCATCGGAGGGGCTCTGCCAAGTCCTTGCTGAGTGACTGCTGCAGATGCTCGTTCTCAAGTATGCCGAGGCAGCTCTTTAGTGCCAGTCTTCAGGGACAAACAATGGCACCTGTTCTGCACAGGAGAGCCGGCCAGTTCGTCCAGTCATGTATCTTTAATGAAGCTCTAGGGCAGATGGCAAAAAATGGCATCATCAACAACTTAGCACCGAGGAGACAAAAGGGGAAAGCGCCCATCCAACAATGCGCTGTTTTTACGAATGGGAAGAGGCCGAGTCTAAGTGTTTCTCGGGCATCTGCCGCAGTCTTGGTTTTCGAAAGGCCCGAGGAACATCTCGGCAATTAAAATTTCTGGGCATGCAGCCGATTTTATGAAATACATCAATCAACCCCTCCGCCCAGTTTCTTTCCCCTCAGTAAAATCAAAACCATAAAAAAAGAGGAGTCTGTACTGTATTTTACATTCATCTTACATCTTTAACAATTAAATGATTAGATGATCAGTGACACTTGTACTTTTACTTCCTTTTTAGTGCCGATTTGTGCTTTTCAGTTGATCTATGCAGAAAATAATGACCCCTATCTATAAAATAATACTGGGACCAACATCTAGTTATGATGGTAGTATTTGGTATGCGACAGAGGGAAGGGTTGTCATTCAGTAAGGGCTTTTTTCAATCCTTGTAACTCTCTGAGTGTGAACTTAAACTTGTCCTCTAGATGCAAACTACCTTTCATTAGAGGAGCTATATATATGTACATACACATATATATACACACGCACACACACATATATATAGATTGAGGACCTGATTCAGCGTTCAAAGGAGAATTTCAAGAAAGCATAGCAAACAGCACAGTGGTAATGCTCCACAGTTAGGGAACAGCTATCATTTGAGAGTCTTAAAAATCTTTTTGGACATGGTGGACTTGGTCCAGCTCTACAGGACTTCACTGGGAAGAGGCCTGTGAAATGAGCAGTATAGGATTTAGCCTTTTCTGTATGAGTTTCATATGATTTTTATGATGCTATAGTGTGGAGTGCTGCTCTGGCTCTGTATGCACCATTACTCTAAGCACAGTGTTCACTCTCATCTGGTCTCTGTTTTGGGGGTCTCTGTTGGTATCTTGCAGATTTGCCATGAAAATAGTTTCTGGGTGGTGGTGAAAGGGAGTTTGAAAGGAATAGTTGTGAAATGGTAGGTCCACTTCCTTAGACTGTAACTGGGAGCTCCTGCAAATGTTTGCAAATACATTATGTTCATTTCTTGCAAAATTCTGCAGTTGTTTCTATCAGACAATCTTTTCATTTATCATATTGCTGTAGACATGGTGTAAAGAAACACTGTGTCACAAAGCTAGCACCATTTTGTCAGAGGGAAACGCTGGGCACGTGGGGGCCAACTCCAATCTGACCAAGTTTAACTCATATCCTAATGGGCCCAGCCAGGCTTGCCTCAGCTCAAATGAAAGAAATTGCTGCTCAAAGCTGGTTTCTTTCACGCCCCGGTGCCATGGCAGTAATTGCACAAAGACCTTTTTATTGTAAGTTGATTTTCCTGAGAAATGGATTCAAAAAAAATACTGTAAAGTGTTTATTTTTTGTTTGACCTTTATTAACCTACATCTTAGGACTTTCCCAGGAGAAGAGTTGTTTGTAAATTAACCCTCATAGACACACACAGTAGCATTTCTGCTCTGCATCAATAGCTGTGAAGGGAATGGGGATATGACAAGAAAATTTGGCGCTATTAAACAAAGTCATAGGTCAACATATGGGATTTGGCCAGAGAAAGTTTTTAGGAATTAAAATGAAAAAATAGTTGCTTGAAGTTTAGTATAACTTTTTAATAGTATTTAATGCCACCGATTTATGGTAGGAGAAGGACAATATTTTCTTCTGTCTAAAAAAAATCATTTCTTCTAACATTTACTAGCTTTGATACATAAACCATTTTATGTTTACTTAACTACTGATCAGAAAAATTGTACTCAAAACCTTGGGCACTTCTGGAGTTAAGAAATGATGAATAAAAACTCTTTGTGATCCTGACCACTGTCCCTGAAACACATGTAACATAAATAAAGGGACCTGGAGATTAAAATGGGATTTAACAAACATGATTCTGTCACATCTCTCATTTTCTGTATGTGGAAAACAAATGCTGATAGAAAGTGAAGAATTTTCTCCTCTTGCATGTTTTTGCTCTTTGATATATTTATTAAGGTCAAATTAAATTTGATGTAGTAGGTTTTATTTTGAAATGCTCTCTGAATACAACTCTGTAATTACCAAGCTACATGATAGTGCATAAAGCTATAAAACTGCTTAGACAGACAAGCAATTTATATGTTATACTGAGGTGTGTATGGCAAAGGATGTTAGTTTAATTGGGAGCCAAGATGTTGTAGCCTTAAATCTTAAGAGCTGAGGTGTTGTCTTGGAGGCTGTTTAATAGTGTGGGAAGATTTTGAAATAACATACCTGAGTTGTTGCCATATATACAAACAATACAGTGTTGCAAGATCTCAGAAATGAAAACTACCCTAAGGATGCTAAATATTTAACATCAAAGTAGCTGTGACAGCGTTAGGATACTTCTAAAATGCTGGTCACTCAGCTTTTTCTAACCAAAGATCAGAAAACTTTTGAGAAATTAATAGAAATATGTACCATTCTTATTTTAAAAGAATCAGTAATATATGAAAAAGGTTTTGTATCTTGTGCCAGGATAGGGAATACTAATTTTAAAAAAGAGAGAACAGTCGTGAAGGAGGAAATTGTGCAGTTCTCTGCAACTGTTACACCTTTGACACTGAGGGAAAACAATGTTGGCGAGGGCTTTGATGTGCTAATGTGCAATTGGCAGGGATTACATTAAGGAGGAGGTTCTGTGGGACTGTGCAAACGCAAGAGCACTATCAGTCCTGGAGAAATACCTGTCAAGACAAATTTGTGCTATTTCTGATCAGAGGCTTTCTTCTGTTTAGCAGGTTCAGGGTCACATGCCTCCGCTCATGATCCCAATTTTTCCACACGACCAGCGGACGTTGGCAGCGGCTGCTGCAGCCCAGCAGGGATTCCTCTTCCCCCCAGGAATAACTTACAAGCCAGGTAAGCTGACAGGGATATGAAGCTAGTTAACTTTTTAGGATTATTAGGTGTAGCTTCTCGTGTGATCTGTCTCACTGATGATGTGACACAACAGGACCAGCGGGTTGGAAATTAAAGTTTTGCAACTCCGCTTGAAAAGAAACTTCCGTTTTGAAGGAGATAGATGGAATATTGGTTATTGAATAGTAGGACTTTTTGACCTTTGCTTCACACAAAATTGTCTACTCTAATCATATTGACCTGCTCACTTCTAATTTGCATCTGCTCTGCCCTGGGGTCATTACACAAAAGCTGCATTTCTTTTATTAATTCTGTTATCTTCAGAATGCTTGTCTTTTGTACCAAACATCTTACTCTTAATTAGTGATAAATGTCAGAGCAAGTATAATTTAATTAGCATACTTCAAATGGGCAACTTTTTGTTTGATTCCAATCAGAATAATAAAAGGTTTCAGTAGTTCAATCCCAGTCATCACTGAGACTTGTAACAGGTCACATAACCTTGCAGTGAAATATGTTTTGAGACGATTTAGCAAATGTTATGATTTCTTTCTTTTTTTCCTCTGAGTTTACAGGACTCCTGGGGAATTCAATTAGGGATATAATGGTTTGAAGCTACTTTCAGAGCCTCCTTGTAAACAGGGCTTTAAATGTTTAAAGACATGTTGCCAAAGGAATTCAATGTAGGAAGATAGTTAAGTAAATAAAAGTCAACCTTATTTTCATTTGTACATTCTTTGTAAGTGACCTCAGCCCAGAAGCAGCAACCTTATTTTGCTCATTAATAGTATTCCCTGTCAAGTTGCCTTTAGCATATTAACCTGATAACTAATAGCTACAAAACATAAATACCCGTTTCTTGTTTGACATTAAATATGAAATGTACAAAGTAAAGCATTGATCCTGCTCCCACTGATGTCAGTGGTGTTTTGCAGTTGTCTGCAGCGGGAGCAGGGTCAAACCCAAACCAAAGCCTCATAATAGATGATGTAAACAGCATGCTAATTAAAAGCCAGGTTGAAACTAAAGTCTCTTCTAGCAAGTTTACTTAATATTAGATGAAGTGAGGCCAAGCAGGATTTCAGCAAGCATTTCCGTTTGTCCCGCTCCATTCTGTCTCTTTAGTCTAGAGCCGTTCCTCTCTCCTTAAACATAGGATCTGTGTCCGATCATTATCTTATTTTCAGTTTCAGAAACCCCAAAGTTCTTTTCCAATTTGACAAATTAATGTACTATACGGAAGAAACCAAGCTAAGAGGGATCTTAAAGGCAGCCCACTCCAGAGGGCACAGAATGATAGTTGTTCACACACAACATTAACCCACCATGTTTGGGGGCCAAAACAAAGAATATTTTGTCTCCAAAGACATGATCAGAATTGCCAATTTTTGAACTTTTCCAGGTTGCCCTGGCTTACACCTTTCTTTCGCAGCAAGCAAAGGCATATGCTTTAGTTTATTTGCTTTTGTAATTTTAATTTGAGATGCTTTCTAGTGACTATTAATCATTAAGCTTTCCCCAAAATATGACGCCTGAAATCACCTTGGGTTGCTAGTGGCTCTGTAGATTACTTTGTACAATGAAGATTCAGGAAGAAGAGCACCAGTATTAATTTCTGCACAAAATCAGATTTCTGCAGTAGTTCCGAGGTGTACCTTATAATATCTATCCTAATGCTTTACCAAGCTCACAGTACTTTACCTCTAATCCTGTCAACCTCATAGCAGAAAGAGATACAGCTTTAGGCAATTAGGAATGCGGAAGGGGAGTTGCATAACAAATGGCAGAAAACTGAACTATGGACAGAAATCAGGGCCTAGATGTCTCAGAACCCAGCTAATGGGAATGCAGCTAAGCTGTTTGCTTAGTGCGCTAGGTTAATATCCAGGTGGTGTTAGTAAAAAACCAAAAGTGACTGTGATCTGATGATAGTAGGTTCAGCTTGCATGAAATAAGAATATTTATATTTTAATAAGTACACTAAGTTCTACAGCATGTGTTGCAAAGATAGCTGTGTGGTTTAGTAGTTCTTGTTGAAGAGATAGCATGATTTTAAAAAAACGTATCTATGCTTGGTATTGATTAATTCCTATTTTTGGCACTCTTGGCACAGTAGTTAGGAATTAGTGAAACTGGAGATTAAACTACACTCCTTCATAGAGAGGGTTCTTCAAAGTCATTTCTGAGGAATATTTATGAACTGTAGCTACCTATACTCTTCAACTTTTGTGATGAAATGAAACTTCCACCACTAGAACTGTCTTTTAGACTTGCTGCTACTTATAAAGACAGAGAGGAAAGAAAGGAGATGGATTAACCCTCCAGATACTTACAGTTTTATTTTTGGCTGCCTCTCTTTCCTTGTAGCCTCTCTTTCCTTTTAATCTACTTTGACACAGGCAAGCCTGAGTTTTGACAGTGCCACTTTTCCTTGACATGCAGAAAATACAGTAAAATGGGTTTTAATAAAAGGAGCTGTGGAACTGAGCACTTTTGAGATCCTGCCTGTATAGTTTGGGGATGCCCAGTGCTCATGTGCACACTGTCATTTATTGGCTTTGCGCATAAAAGCAGCTAGGTGTAAGCCAGCTCCAGCTTGCAAACGGAGAGCATCAGCGTTTGTGCGCTGCTCTAGGCAGGATAGGAAGTCCTGCCTTGGAGCACGAGTAGGGGTAGAATTATCTGTACGTGCCCATGCTGGTGCATCTTCATTGCCCACGTGGGGAACAAGCTGATGGCCGTTGAGTTCAGTGCTAAGATGGAAGCTAATGAGGGCTGTTGCAAACCTGCCCTTGTATGTCATGTCTTTAAGAAAGCAAATAACTTCTTAAAACAGGCTATGCTAACTCATGTGTTTAATAGCAGGAGGAGGGTTTAGGATCTGCTGCCCTTTCAGAACATGCACTCTTGAGACATGAACTCCTGAGCTCAGAAATGCCCAGCACACAGAACTGCTGGGAATTGCTAGCTAAAATTTCTATTAAAGCCTCCCAAGACAGCATTTCCTACTTCCTACTGTCCCTACTTGGTAGGATCCATAACGTGAGGTAACTGCAGCACTCACATTTTGGAGCTGTAGGAGGTAAAATGCGACAAAGTTAGCAAGCACTGATGGCAAGTAATAATTGCATTAAAAAAAAATCCCTCAAGTCCCATGCTTCCTTATGTATCTCGAAGTCATGTAATATAATTTTCCGGCATGGTAAGTACTAATTGAGAAATCAGAGCTGCATAGACCACCTAATTAATTTTTTATACATATTTCAGTATTTGTACTGTATACTAGATTAATTAAAACTTTAGGGCACCATGCATCTCAAATGACTGTTGTGACTATTGACCTGTAGGCGCTTGACGAGCCTTGCAGGATACCTGGTTGCAGGGTCGCCCCTTATTCCAGTGGGAAGCTGCGAGCGGCAGCTGGTGGGGAGCTAATACTTACCCAGGGATGCCACACAGTTAATAGGACTATTTTGCATTCCAAGTAGAGCAGAGCAACTACTCCAGTTTTCTGCCTGTGACCACTCCTCTTACTAGCTGGAACTGGTGGAAAGCAGAAATGTCATTATATCTCATCTCCCAGTGCAGGTTGCCCTTCACTTAACTGGCCACGTGCATCCAGGACAAGTTAGTGGGTTGGAGTATCCTTGAATGTGATTAGTGTGTCCCCATTAGCCTACTGGTTCTGGAGGGGAATGCTGTTTTCTGGCTAGTGAGTGGGACAAGGCAGGAAGACAATTCCCTCCCTCCGTCTGGCTGTGCTAATTCCTTCAAGTTTTGTGACTATGAGTGACCAAAGAAGACCAGTGACAAACAAGGAAAGCAATGGGTGAGCACTGTCTAGGAGTCGGACCGTCTTTGGAGCAGCAAAGCTCCTGGGAGCAGGAGGGCCATTCTTCATGCCTTCTGCTCAACAGAAGTCCTCGTGGGCCTTGGAAACCAGTGATTGGTTTTGTTGAAGAGTCTTCTGAAAATGTTCTGTGTTATAATAATCCTTTACCAGATATGTAAAGTGACAATGAAGGAGATTATTAAAAAATTACAAATTTTGAGTATGGAGATTGTGCGCCCCAACTTAAAAGATATGCTGCCATATAGGTCTCAGCATTAGTTTCTGTTTCATGTATAGACCATGGTTAGAATGGCTGAGAAATTGATTTCCCTATCAATCTAAGTCATTCTGATTTAGACACACAGATGATTTACAATAGGTTTTGCTATGCTGGCAGTATGTGGAAATATGAAAATGGAGACTATTTGCCTAACTCAGCGGCAAAAATAGTGAGAAATGAAGATGAAGTTTTGGCCTGGTTCTCGTAGTTGCAGTGGGATCAATCAACAGTAACTCCTTTGAGATCAAGGAAGAGCACATGACAAATGGCATTGTCAGACTGCACCTCTCCAATTCTGTGAAATACATATCATAAAGCCACCTAAACTCATTGATTAACCTAGCTAATCTGCACAACTCGCATCTCCTGGATTTTCCTGATATCCATTGTTGCAGTTTCCATTCAGAGTGGTCCTTTCAGAAGTTTTTCCTAAAGCAGCAAGAACTTTAAATATTATGTAGCTCAGTGCCCTTATTTTCAATATTTTCAATAAGCTGCTGTTCTTTTTCCCAGATAAGAACAGAAAGGGTATCTCAAATCAGCTCTGTACTGAGCTGGTTGTGCCTCTTTGTACGGTAGAGGTGCTATGCGAGTTGTATTTCGAAGGGACTCAGTAACCTTGGGATGCAGTGTGACGACTCATATGTTCCTCACTTTTAAAAGCTGAGGTAGCAGCTGGAACTGGTAGTAGGCAGCTGAATATTTTCAACTGAGATTTCCGCTAAAACTAGTTCTTTTTCCAGAGGCAGCCAGTTGCTCACGCAGCTGAGTTTGCTGAGCTCCCAGCGAGGCACTGCAGCAAGACGCAGACAGGAGAACTGACATACCCTCGCCAGACAGAGCAGAGTCTCCATAGTGTCACTTTGGCCAATTACTTTTATTAACATCTTGAGCATCCATCATGTCCTTTGCAGGGATTACACATGTAAGCATCAGTTGCATCAACATGATGCTTCCTGACAACAGCATGAGTAGAAGTTTACTCTCCTTGGTATGTTCTTTCTGCCTTGAGATGCTCCTTTGCTGGGTATATGATCGGCCAAGTCTCTTCTGACTGTTTGTTGTTACTCAGTGATTACGTACGGCAAGTGTGCAAGTCGCACCATGAGCTCCCGGTACAAAGAGAGAGATTTTAAATTGCAGTCCCAAAATGAAGAAACCATCATCAAGCAAAATGCTCCTTAGGTGAGGTGAGGAGAGTTGATTGGTGTCTTACAAGTGGGTTTTGAAAAGGGTGACTAACAAAACCAGCACCTTCCCCTAACTTGAGTCTCATCAGAGATGTATCTTCATTTCACTGGATTCCCTTCTTTTCCTCATGTATCACAGTGCCTTAATCTGGAAAGTAAGTGCACACATCCTATGAATAAAATCCATTAAGATTCATTGCTTCATCCAAGGCAAGCAGAGATTTATATAATTTCAATGTAGAGCAGCATGGTGCAATTGTTTGTGGCCTGCGTTCATCTGGAAATGCTGCCCAACCTGCCAAATGAACCAGGAGCCTGGCAAACTTTTCCATGGTTGGTAAACACCAAGCGATACATAAACAACAGCTGCCAAATGTAAGTGGGCAATCAAGGCAGCACCAGGGTTGAAGAGATCAATTTGCAAAATAGGTAGGTTTTCTTCTTTCAGCAGTCTTCTCCCTGCTGGTTACCCACGGCCAGCACACACCAGTACCTGAAGCAGACCTGCTTGAACATGTTTTGTTTTCCCTTATACAAATGTGGAAGAATGGATCTGCACGCAAGCATTCCAGCCCGAGAAACAAATTTGAAAAAAATTGCTACAATACATTGACTGATTTCTTGCCAAGGCAGCTACTGAGAAGCTTCTTGATCCATTCTTGTACTGAGAAAATTAGAGAGGAGAAATATGTACCTTCTGTAATTAAAAATTAAAGCCGGTCTGTTCCCTGCATGTTGTGTTTCCTCAAAGAGAGAAAAGGAGTACCTTTGCTCTGCTTTTGCTGCTTGGTGTCACAAAAATACTCCCTAACTGTAAGAATATTAATTTTTGTTCTTAGTATAATGGTTCTGTTAACACACCAGGACTTAACCATAATGCAAGATGTGAAAAATGAGAAAAGAAAGAAGGGGCAGCCTTTTGTTTTAATAATATATTAATGGCATAAAGATAAAAACATACTTTCTCTGGGCAGAATAAAGAACCGTAGGCAGCAGGTGAGCATGAGAACACTCCTGGGTGTGGTGGAGGGATTATTGAATTAGTCGTGAAGCCAAAACCTCTGTGTGTGCGTGTGTGTGTGTGTGTATAAAATATCTGGCTATTTCAAACTATAGAAGCATGACAGCTGTGAAAAAGGAGTGCCGCAGGGAATTCTTTTAGAGTTTGATTTTTTTAAAAAATGTTTGACATGGAAAATGTTTTAGTACAAATAAAGCAACTGGTATTGAACTTAAAAAGTGTATGTGGAGGGGGAGGGAGAAAGAGGAGATTGCTGTGTGGAACAGGAATGAATAATTCATGATATTTAAAGAAAGAATGCCTCCAAAATGTTCTGCAGAGTAGTCCATGCTGATAACTCAGATGGTTATTTTCCCCCCCATTTAAGTCATCATTAATTCAACATCTTTGTATTTTTTTTAAACCTTGCAAGATATTTCTGAAAGAAGCATTATTTAACTTATCTTAGGATCTTACTTATTGAGATAATTTTGTATAAATATCAAAGAGATTAGTAGAATTATTTAACTGTAAGGAGACAGCTTTAGTACTGTAAGAAAAGAATCTGGGGTTTTATGTGACTTTTTTAAAGGAAAAAAAAAAACAAAAAAAAATCTTTGCAAACTAAAATCAACCTCATGGAAAGGAGAAAATAACAGCAGATATTTTGAACATTACTCCATAGGACACCGGTACAATATAGTGTTAGTGAATGCATTGTAGCAGAGCTTCATATACAATCAGAAGCCAATTGTTACTGGACTGTATACAAGCACATACTGTGCTCAATGGTCTGATGAGGTATTATGGGTATGATGCAAAGAGACCTTGTGGATTAGAAATGTACAATTTATTAAAAAAGTGAAACAACTGAACATTTACACTGAGCAGAATACAATAGCACTTCAGGTGGTAAACTGAGAAATCGAAGGAGCTGAGTGATTGCAGAGACTTCAGGTACTGTGTTTTATTTGAGGGGGTGGACAAAAAAATCTCACTCTTACAGTGTCCTGACCATTTCAGATTTCTGTATTTTCTTCCACTGTTACATACTGCTTTCAGTGTGGAGAAGTTCACACAAAAGAAACTGATTATTGTAAATCTCAAAAATGTGCAATGTCAAAAAGAGCAGCCATTTAAAATGTAGCCTTCAGATAGTACATAACACTGACTTTAAATAAGAAGCTTGAATCAAAGTGAACCTCCATTAAAGCATGGTTATTGTGTAATCCATCACTTGATTAATCTTTATATTGCAGATTGCAGT